ATAACATTCTGCATTAAATATTTGTATAACATTTTGTATTAACTATTTGTATATAACATACTGTATTAACTATTTGTATAACATTCTATATTAACTATTTGTATAACATTCTATATTAACTATTTGTATATAACATACTGTATTAACTATTTGTATATAACATTCTGTATGAACTATTTGTATAACATTCTGTATGAACTATTTGTATAACATTCTGTGTTAACTATTTGTATAAAACATTCTGTATGAACTATTTGTATAACATTCTGTATTAACCTTGAATATGGTTTGATACTGCAATAACGTCGTTGTATATGACTTTTATAGTGACCCAATTGTAATTTATATAATAATCATTTGTTTAGCGTACTGTAATAGCCTGGATGTATATGATTTATATAACAATCTGTTTCATGTCATTTAATGACCCAGTTGTATGTGACTGCTGTAACCATTAGCATAACCCTTGGAAGTGATAACCTCTGTTAACCAACTACAGAAAACTACGGTCATAACGAACTCAAAGGGACCACCAATTTTAGTTCGTTATAACCGTAGTTCGTTATAAGCATAACATATACAGCATATAAGCAAACGACCGGGACCAAAAAAATAAGTTTGTTATAATCATCAGTTCGTTATAACCGTGTTCGTCATAAACGTAGTTAACTGTAGTGGATGAATCACTCACATCCACTGTACCGAATCGGTCGGATGAAAGCTTAATTTCTTGGTTTGGGGTGGGCAGGGGTGGGCAGGGGAGGGGGTGGGGGGTGGGGGGGGGGGGGGGGGGGGGGGGTGGTACCCAAAACTGGTTGGGGTCAGGCCGCCCACGTGTGTTCCCCCTGTATCCATGTAGATGATGTTGTAGCGGCAGACAGCTCGACAACAGACAACGTTTGACTATTAGCTATTTGTCACGTGACTCTCCCGCCCTCACTGTTACAGCGGAAACCAGATGGTAATGTTGTTTGCGGACCGTCTGAACATAGCAGGGTCATTCCCGTGTTCCCAGCATCTCACAGGTTCAGTGACTAATATTGAAGTTTCCAAGCTCACTTACAAATATCACTTATCTGGACGTAGCCTCAAGTGCATGAAGTTATTGCGTATATTTGATGTTGGACTCCCCAATCTCCCAACAGGGCAAGCAGCGTTAATAGAAGTCTTGTTTCGGCGGGAATATTAACGAACAGTCTTGTTCACAATATACAATAAAATTGCTAAATTCTGAACCATGTTAGTCGATATTAAATGAAGTTTATGGAATAAAACGCCCGAGTTGATATAGTTTGATTTGCTGATTACAAGTTGCCATAGCAACGCCAACTAACCACATCAAATCAGTGAAACATGGGAAAGATGCTCTGTTCGCTGCTTTCATGTTCTGCGTCTCTCGACCTCAAAGAATCACAGAGTTAGATGGGTCATCTTTTCAAAGATATCCACTCCTGAGCACTTAACCTGGGCCTTATCCGGACCATGGTCACAATGTGGACCATGAGATGGGCGTGTCCGGGAAGAAATCAAGGAGGGAAGTACACAGCTTGTGAACATACTTAACCACGGCAGCTACCGTTTAATGGTACCATTCGCCGGAGGCTTACTTAACCCTTGACCCTGTGGAAGCAGATAGACCCTTATTAGATAGTTAGTGATTCATATGGAACAAATGCTTACAATTCAGTCGTTCATGTAATCGTTTCAAGTGTCGACTGTTCCGTGATGGGACTGAGAGTTAGGTACAGGCTATGTGTGTGGTGACTGTACCGTGGGGTTCCGTTGACGGATCAGTGGTAGATGGAACTGGGGGTATTGATCAGAAGGCAGTGCAACAGGTTGACTGCGGGAGCTATACTTTACACAGCGGTGGGGCGGCGGAGGGGAAGGGGAAGGGGTTTGGGGTGGACACACCCCTCACGTTACATCACAGACCTGGCTTCACCCCTCAATCGTAGCCTAACCCCAAGTCGCCACCACAGTGTCTAACCTAATCCCCAGTTATAACATCAATTTCCCTTAAGCCTCAAACCGAGTCCCTAACCTTACCCTCAGTCAGAGCCCAGTTCCATACCTCAACCCAGTGTCTCAACGCAGTGTCTCACCCCAGTGTCTCAACGCAGTGTCTCAATCCAGTCTCACAAGCCCTGCCCCGAGGTTCCATCCTCATCCCCAATACCACCCCTGACCTCTTGTCTGTAACTTCGCGCCCATTCAAACCTCATTCCAATGTCTCGTCTCTCAAACTATCCCCACCCCTAATCTCCAGCACCATCAAGTCTGAACCCCGCCCTATCATGTTTAGCTCCTCAAGGAGGCACGGGAACGCTGCGTCTGACCCCGTTCTATCCCCAACCCCGCGTGTAGCTCCTCCAGGGGGCACAGGAACGCCGCGTCTGACCCCGTTCTATCCCCGACCCCGTGGGTAGCTCCTCCAGGAGGCACAGGAACGCCGCGTCTGACCCCGTTCTATCCCTACCCCGTGTGAAACTCCTCCAGGAGGCACGGGAACGCCGCGTCTGACCCCGTTCTATCCCCACCCCCGTGTGTAGCTCCTCCAGGGGGCACAGGAACGCCGTGTCTGACCCCTGACATAAGAATTGTCTGTGTGTCAACACTGTTAGAGACGCTCCTTTAGTTTGGAAATTAATTGGAATGCCATCCTGTTGATCGAGTGGAGGAATTGATGTGTGGTGTGTTTACACGAGAGTATGGCAATCTGCTATATTCATCAGCAAAAGATGCAGTTGACTCCGAGCTGGGGTAATCTCGACAACAAAGGGGAGAGAAGGAAGTAGTGATCTTTATGGAGCGCCCGTAATAGTTATACAAACACTCGTTAAAGTCCTTTTACAGAAGCATCGATTCTAGTAGAGGCGACTGTCAGTAGTACCTATCCGGCCCCCGAACCCCGTCAGTGCCCCGGAGCAAGCATGTATGGATGAGCCGACTGGGCTCGGTCTAGTTGTATTGAGCTCATCACGGAACAAGCCGTGCGTTGCTACATGTGCAGTGACGATGTGTAGTCCGTTAATGAACTCTCACTTCAGCAGGGTAGACAAAAATCGTTTTAAACCAGACAACCTCATTGATTGCACAAGATCCACGAGAGGTTACGATGTTTGCATAAGAAACATTAAATACAATTACTCTGGTTTGATATCTGTTTTAGAGCCGCTATTGAAACCTGACGGCGGATCGCTGCATGCTGTAGTCATTGCTTCACCTTTGAGTGAAGACACGGGTGGAATTTGATGGGACAGCCTTATCAGCGGCGGTTAACTAGCGTGGTTATTGGCAAACTCTACACGCGTTTCCTCTGTCGCCTATCGTGCGGTTGGGCGTACATTCATTAACCATTAAACTTGTTCGCCACTGCTCTTTTCCCATTTGCGATGCCATTTGACGGACCCTATCTCAGGCGACTTGCTGAAGGGTCTCTTGAATCATTGCTGCCATGGCTGGCCTAACCATGCGCACGTTTGACAGATCAGGGAACGAGCGAGTGGCGGGCTGGCCGCCCCAATGATTCTATTAGAATACCGCATTGACGACCATCGCTGTACAACAATCTGAAGTTTACGGTTCCCGCTGATGTCCCCTCCCAGTAAAGTGTCCAGCTAAAGCCCGACGACGCACTTTATTACCGAGGCGTATTGACCACAGGGAAACCCAGTCAGTTATACAATATAGAAGTTCCTCTCTCAGCAAAGCGCTATTCCCATGTCTCAATCGGCGACCGTGTGCTGCTCCGCTGGACTGGGCAATACTTGAACGATTTGTTTGAGTTTGAGTTAATGATTTAAACTTAACGTACTTTATGTGTAATGGTGTGTATGTGTTGAATGCGACGCCGTTCATCAGAACCTGACAGGGAGGCAAGTGCCCCCGTCACGGCGTCAACAGGGACGTCTAAACGCTGCCCTACTTCCTGTTGAGAACATTTAAATGGGGACTACTTTTCACCCGACAACGATCAGCGATTGATCTGTTTGGGAGTGTTTATCCTAATGAGTCAGTGTCAGTTACTGTTTCATTGTAAACAATCTCGGAGAAACTGAATAAAGACGAGCGTCTCCCGGGGTATGAGCGGTATTCGGACGCCGGCCCTACCCCAAGATACTCTACCCAAAGATACTCTACCCCTAACACTGTAGCACCTGGCACAATAAACTCACACATCTCCAAGAAATTGTTACGAAATCAAAGGTCCTTGATTTCATTTATCACTGGAGGGAACATTCCCTGCTGTATCAGCAATTATTCGGATGTCCATATCTCGGATACTGGTATCGCGTGGTTTCCCGACCCGTGCGTCTCTGTTCCCCACCCCCCAGGCAATCTGGCAGAGGACTGGGCTCCGTGTGCAGTTGACCACCACTGTCTCCATCCCTCCAGTTGGGTCTTCTTGTGCCTCCGTAAAAATCGACTCAATTATTTCAGCGCTGTGTGAATTGAAATGTGCCACTGTGTTGTAACGTGGACCTATCACATGCAGGCCGGAGACGGATATAGTCCCACTTTTACACATGTCAACGATGGAAAGTAATAGCCATTGGAAAACTGATCTGATCTTTATGTTATAGCAAGGCTGTTGGAAGCTCTGCATATGAGTGATTGTGGAGTCAGTATTACTGTGAGCTTCTTGATAGTTTTCAGTGTGAATGACAGACGCGTCAGAAGCTCTCTCATACAATCATAGTGTCCCATTCAGTGTGTTTTCGGGAATATTCAAATATGGAAAACTTTGTTTCGGAAATATTGATCTTGACAAATGTTGAAGATGACTTGTACATGACTACCAGCTTTACCATGGTCTTTCCTCAACAAGTTTATTTTCTTTGACTGCTCAGGAACTGTAGCGCTCCGCCATGTTGGGATACGAGTCGGAGGTTTGACTGTCTCTGTACCTGTAGCCGTGTTCTAGGCGTGTTCTAGCCGTGTACTAGCCACCTAGCCGTGTATCTATTTATACAGAGTGTTATGCACCAGATACAACCATGTCCAAGACGATGTTACCTTCGTGTATCGTGTATAACTCACCGTATTCATCTCCCTCTAGGGGCCTCGACCACTACGGTGCTGCCGACAAGAGGGCGTCCACCATGCCGTCCCAGGGGTCTCTCTTCACCAACTTTGAGGACGTGCAGGTAGGTGTTGCTGATTCATTTTACTGTTATATACGCTTAGCAATACATTAAATGATAAAATGGCACAGACATACGTGTCCTATACGGTGTGTCGAAGATTCTTCTTGAGGCATCTGGTTCTTTGAAAGGTATGATGACAAGTAAATGACATCTATTGTTCAAGTTATGTCATTTTTACTTTAATTCCCCCGTCAGAACCTCGCTCCCCGATAATACACCCTTAAGACACATTACACGAGACCCGTGAAGTCCCGGGGTAGAATAGGTCTTCAGCAACCCGTGCTTGCCATAAAAGGTGACTATGCTTGTCGTGAGAGACGACTAACGGGATCGGGTGATCAGGCTCGCTGACTTGGTTGATGCATGTCATCGTATACCAATTGCGTGGATCGATGCTCATATTATTAATCACTGGATTGTCTGGTCCAGACTCGATTATTTACAGACCGCCAGCTGTAATAGTGCTGAGAGTGGCGTTAAACAACAAACAAACATACAAACAAACAAACAAACATTACACGATAGGTCAACACGCATTCAGTTCATTACAGGGTATGGAGCTCCCTAAACGTTACGCTACGTAGTTAGAAGTGTGTCGTATAGACTGTGTGCTCATTTTACCTTGTATATCAAAGTGTAGGTTGAAGTGAATTTGTCGATTCCATTTGATAGACACTTTCTTAAAAAGACAGAGAAAAGATTTGTATTGGCCTTAAAACGTTTTATGGTTACTATATCTCACGTTGAATGTTCCATATAAATGTATATTATGCACACGATTATGAAAGGGCGACATACATGGTTTAACTGCAACTGTATTCGAAAGAACGCCGCTCATCACGATTGTAGCGTGCCTGTGTATGGAAGAATGCCTTACATGTTTTATTATATCTGCATTCGATATTGTCATCATTAATTATACCAAAACTAATGTGTAATACTTCACACTGTATAGCAGTTTATTCTTGTATGGCGCACGTAATATCGCACTCCTTATTACAGATTTTCTATGCGTGGCGTGCGTCAAATCTGACATGTTACAAGTTATCTATGCATGACGTACGTCAAAACTCACATGTTACAGCTTATCTATGTGTTGCGTACGTCAAATCACATATACTATTGCAGTCTCTTGTGTGGCGTACGTCAAATCTCAAATTACGGCTCATCTATTCGTGGCATACGTCACATCTGACATATTATTACAGATTATTTGTGTTTAATGTACGTTAAATCTCATGTAGTATTACAGCTATGCGTGGCGTACGTCAATTCTAACATATTATTACAGATTATCTGTGCGTGGCGTACGTCATGTCTGACTTAGTGCTAGAGATTACCCTTATCTGACGTACGTCATATCTCACATAGTATGACAACTTATATGTGTGTAGTGTACGTCAAATCTCACATAGTATTAGAGGTATGCTTGGCGTGCGTCACATTTCACATAGTACTACAGATTACCCTTATATGACGTACGTCATAGTATGACAACTTATATGTGTGTAGTGTACGTTAAATCTCACACAGTATTACAACTATGCGGGCGAACGTCAAATTTCACCTAGTACTACAGATTACCCTATACGACGTACGTCATATCTGACATATTAAAAAAGCTTTTCATATGTGGCATACGTCATATCTGCCTCATTATTACAGTGTTTACGGCATACATAAACACTTGTCACACACAGATGGCCAATACCGCCTTCCCTCCACATCTTCGCACACCTTCTTCCAACCATATGGGGCATACGTCATATCTGCCTCATTATTACAGTGTTTACGGCATACATAAACACTTGTCACATACAGATGGCCAATACCGCCTTCCCTCCACATCTTCGCACACCTTCTTCCAACCATATGGGCTTATACTCGGGGCTGTCAGACGCATTAACTTATCTTCGCTGTTTATATATTCTCTGTCCCTCTTATCTGTTTTATGTCTACGTGTGGTCAACAAAACAAAGAATGGTGAATTATTATGTAGCAAACTGCTGATACATCATACATAGTTCGGAACTCTTACGTAACGTAACGGAGTCTGTGGTATAAAACACGCAGCCCTGATTGAGCTTGACGCAACAACGGTGTGTGTGAGAGTGGGTTGCAATGTGCTTGTGTCGGTGATTGGCAGCTTATATGGGATGGAGCCACCATTAGGTTTGGCATGCTGAAGATGATGAAGTTGACCGAATGAATACATTTTTGCATGACCCTCCATCTGTAATTGAATTTAACAGAGAGATAACACTGTATTTCATCATATTCCTTCATGCCGCAGTGCGGCGCATGCTCTCCACAATAGCCTTTGGTCACATCCCCACCATGGTATTGCAACATCATTTTTGTAGCTGAATGTCTTTTTTATTTCACTTTCTGAAACGTTTTCGATGTACCGTTCAAACCTGTAAGTTAGATTTGACGGTTAATGAGAACAGGTTTTAATTCTTACAGTAATAAATGTGTCCGTACGCGCACACGCACAGACGCACTGGCGCGATGATGCGCACTTACGTATACGACAACACTAACACGGCTCTCACTAACACGCACAAGATTACACATATACACACGATCACGTATAATACAAACGTAAAGATTAAACTATCACTGGCTCCCACGGCTATTTATAAGTGGCTACTTGTCATGCTAGCAGATAACACTCAACCAAACCGGACAATCAAATATGATCTCAAGGAATCATTTGAACAATTGTAGCGGGAGGACACTGGTATCGGTGCTGATTTAATGCCTGTTTACACGCCGCTCTCCATTCCACGTCGTCTTTGAGGAACCATTTGAATACAGGCAACAACATCCTTTCAAATCAAATCAGTCAAGATGCTCAACCAGCTTACGTAAAGTAAGCCAACTAGAGACAGACGGCAATCAATGGTATTGAACATAGAACAAAGAACCCGTCGTCGCAGCACGCAAATCCAGGACAACAGAATTGTCCTCAATTCAATTTCCCCGAGCCAGGGGAAAGCTGGGCAGGTACTGGGCACCACGGAGTCCATGATACCCCCTTTCACATACACGGACAGATAACACACTTTTCCGTTTCAGGCAAATTGTCTGTTTGGGTAATTGTGTCCAATTGAAGACATTCTGTTGCAACTGAAGTCAGCCATGTCTTGCATCATGCTTCTGCCATGATTGTTGTCGCTCTTGTTGACAGCGGTATGAAGAAAATACATAAAAGATTACCACACGCCATGGGAAGGGAGGTTTAGAGATGAAAAGGGAATTCTGTGCGGATTTCGCATCGATTACATCCCGGTTACAGTTGCTTCCTGTGGGATGAGGATGAGATGAAGATTCAGTATCAGTTCTAGGATGGCAGAGATGAAGTTTTAAACTCTTTCACTGTAGCATGTTTCTGTTGTGGCTGCGGTTGGATCTTTACTTTCCGTGTTATTGAACAACGAGCATGTATCAGCGAGTGGGACCGAACAGGGTTGGAGCGCTTCATGACTGAGACCTGTATAGAATTACACGTAATTGTATCAGTAGTACCACTCTTGAAATGGTATTTTGATTGTATACGGAGTTAGTTTACCTTCCAACAGTGACTGTCTGGCTTTATACCACATGATTTTAAGGCCACGTCCGCTGTTGCCCAATTTGTACAGGAGTCCTAGATGGACACGTGTTGTTGGTTTGTTGTTTAACGCCGCACTCAGCAATATTCCAGCTATATGACGGCGGTCTGTAAAAAAACGAGTCTGGACCAGACAACCCCGTGATTAATATCATGAGCATCGATCCACGCAATTGGGATACGATGACATGCATCAACCAAGTCAGCGAGTCTGACCACCCGATCCCGTTAGTCGCCTTTTACGACAAGCATAGTCACCTTTTACGGCAAGCATGGGTTGCTGAAGATCTGTTCTACCCCGGAATCTTCACGGGTCGATGGACACGTGTATTCCACACAGGCACATAGTACAAATCTATTTACGGTGGTTGCAAATATAATTAACAATTCATATTCTAATTAACATAGCATGATACAAAAATTGATACTTTTGAGAGAGCAGGATTATCATTTCCTGACATTATTGATATATACTTTTTGTTAATTAGAATGTACATAATATGACAATCCTAAATACTTACTTAATAAGTCGTACTTTGGACAAACTAACAGAAAATCTTCTAATCTTTAATCACATTTAAATCACATTGCTCGCAAATTCTCAATTCTCTAGCTGCATTTAAATTGTGCTAAGGCTATTCTAAACCTTTTTACAGTTTACACCAAACACGTAGTATTCTGGGGATACATTTGTCTCAAAAAGCTTAAGAGAAAGCTCTTTTAAGAACTACCTCAGTAAGTCAGCCACAATGACAGCGCGTCGTAATACATTTACATCAAGTACAAGACGTCAATATGGCCGACACGATAAACGTGACGAGAAAGACTTCCGAAGTTGTTTTTAAAAGACCTGTTGCGGTTACATGTGTTAATCATCATTGATCAATTGGCCCAACATTCAAATGAGATTATAAAGATATGTCAAATAGATACTATAGTAAATTAATAGATTGATGTAAACTGTCACTGTCATTGTAGACACGGATCGAGGCCATACTACGATAGTTTGGATGTGCATTTCTTCGATTTTGTTCACTTGGCCTAGGATGGGTCGAAGCGAGGATATTCGTAAACGATGATGCAGTACAACTCTCTGACGTTTCCCGATGTATGAAAAGACAGAGAGTTCAAGATTAAAGGGTCTTAATGTTCAGAAACAACGCTTCTGTGTGTATTCGTGATAGGGAATTAACAGGGTTTCCCCAGGAATGTTGAAGTAGTCCGTCGGTGTTTACGTCATGTCAAGAGCACGGTCTCGTGAAAAACGTATGAACGTCAAATTGTGTCATTCATACACTTATGAACGTCAATTTCGCGGTCATGTGACTGACCTCTCACCCAAAAGCCGCATACCGTCTAAACCTCGCATTAGAAGAACATATGA